TGACTGCGACTGCGACTACGGCTACTACTACTGCGACCATTAGCACGACCACTACTAAGACGCCACTGCTACCAGGACGACATCTACGACTCTACGACTACGAGGACGATGACCTGCGTTCTGACTAATTTCGGCTACAGCTAGTGCGGCAACACCGGCTGCTACTCGTTGTCGACGTCTCTGTAGGTGTGTCATTAGACAAGCGCAGCCGCAACACATGGAGCCAAACTCATGGCCAAGTTCACGCAGGGACTTCCACGAGTGGGAGTAGTAGTTGCTTAACGCACGGCTGGGTTTTGGATGATTGCAATCATTAGTATGTGCGATGGTCATCACGATGAAGGCAAGAAGGGTAAAGATGCAAGCCGGGTAGTAGTTACAAAAACGTCAAGAAACTATGATCTGGACACTGCGCAGTACTAGATGAGCCGTCAGCGGCACCGCTCGTAAACCTGAAATAGCTCAAAAGGCTGAAAAACAAAGTGCTACCATACGGATGGTAGAAGCGAAATGAAAGGAATCAAAGGCACAACCAAAATCTGAGGAAGTCCAGTCACGAAAGCAAGACTCATGGAGCCAATCCTAAGTACGTGTACGGCGCCAGAGGCTTTCAGCTAACGACATCTACGATCAACGCATCAAAAAAAGCACCCAGCCACATGTAGGCAAGCAACAGTACTGGTAAGACTGCGACACAGTAACCCCCATGTGGGGGTTTCCGAAAATAGGGGACCCTAATATAGCACCCTAAATACTAGGCTCCTTATTATAAGCCCCAGAATAAGGTACCCCCGCCATTTTCGGAAACCCCTAAAGGCACCTCCAGCAAGTGGCGAACTGCAAGGACCCGGCCATTCTCGGCAGCTTCATGGAGCGGGGTGCTGCCTCATCCGGGGCCCCAGTCTCTCAGCGCTTCGGCGGGGAGCTTCGCGGAAGCAGAATGTAGGGGCCTTCATAGTTAGAATAGGGTTTTGGGGGGTTCCTTATTATAGATATAGTATGATATACCCCAAACCCTATTCTAATTAAGGCCCCTACATTACCAGCAGCACCTAAAGCTTGCAAGATTGCTGCAGCATTGGTTTCAAAACCAATGCCTCAAATTCCTATGATTTGCGAACCCTAAACCCTAAACCCTAAACGCATTGCTGGCAACTCCTCGGGGTCTCCCTACGCATGCCCTGCCGAATTAGTGGCGTTTAAGGCCTCGAATGTCTGTTTCCCCGGAACTGTAGAGAGAACACGTGATATGCTTAAAAACCGTCCCGACATGCAAACATATAGTATGAGGCACAGGTACGTGCTTGATGCCACAGAGAAGCTCCTGATCCCAAAACGCTCAAGAAAACAAAACCAATGGATCCAGCAATTGGAATCGAGGTGGGATTTGGGATTTGCGCATGAAAACAGCATTGTCGGGTTTGGACTAGTGATTAGAAGTCGCACGTTGACTTCTACACACACGTTCCCCAAAACCCGAACATCAAACAAAATCAAACACCCTGATATTTGATAGTACAGCAGAAGGCCAAGATGCGAAGACTGCTGTGAACCATGTCAGTGTTTGCATGGGCCAAAAGCAGAAGCCGCACCACCTTCCGGCATTGCGGAAGAAAAGCAGATGATGCAACAGCTGTAGCAGTAGTAGTAGCAACCGTCGTCGTAGTAGCAGTACTAGTAGTGGTAGTAGTCGTAGTAGTAGTAGTAGTAGTAGTAGTAGTAGCTTTAGTAGTAGTAGTAGTAGTAGTAGTAGTAGTAGTAGTAGTTGCAGCAGTAGTAGGAGTAGTGGCCGCAGCAGTAATAGCTGTAGTAGCCGCAGCAGTAGTAGTAGTAGTAGTAGTAGTAGTAGTAGTAGGAGGTTGTCGTAGTAGTAAAAGCAGCAGCAGCAGCAGCTGGCAGCTACTAGTAGTAGTAGTAGTAGTAGTAGCAGCAGCAGCAGTAGCAGCAGCAGTAGCAGCAGCAGTAGTAGTCGTTGTCAGCCGCTTTTCTTGGGCCACGGTTCAGGGATTGCGTGCCTTCCGAACTGTGCTCGGGCAAGATGTACTCGCGACTTGTGTATTGCAGTGAAACTGGAGAGAGTAGGGTTCGGTGGCTGTGCCCAAAGCTATCCAGAGTGACGAGGCAAAAATGCGACTGGTTTTTGGACCCTTTACTATGAGTCCCAAATAAGGCCCTCTAAGTTTACGTCAACAACGAAGGCAGTGGAAACCCAATACTCTGTCCCAGGACATGTGAAAGCCTAGGAGGCATTGCAGGCTTTCGGCTCTTCAGTTTAGGTTCTGAGATTTTGAAGTAAAGTAGACCCCTGATTGATACACCCCGCCTCCTTTAATAAGGACATCAGTGTCAAAAAGGATCCTAAGATCAAGGCCCTCAAGCAACGGAGGGACCTTACTGATAAGGGACCAACTCCCGAAATGAAAATACCTGAACTACTTTGGGCTTTGGGGTTTCGGACACTAAGGCCTGAGCATGCCCACGCCCTGCAGCCGCCCACCTTGGATCAGTAGGATCTTAGGAACTTGACGTGTAGCGTTTAGAGTTTGAGGTTTCGGGAAGCTTACGCTTTGCTGGAGTCAGACACCTTCGGGCTGCAAGAACATATGGGTAGTTGTGCAATGAAGCATTTCATTTGACGTGCAGTGATGAAACATCTGTCGTGGTTTGGATTTGGGGAACCCACAGGTGACCATAACTGTCAAAACTACGGAGATGAAAAGGTTCGCTTGCTGCCGTCCGACACTCTCGCACACTGATCCTCGAAGAGATATCGGGAACTGCAACAATAAAACTACCAGTATCTCAGGACCGGCAGCGGCCACAAGTCAGAAATTCAACATGTGATGCGAAACATTCAAGAAGCAAAAGTTTTGCAAAACATATAGAAGCAGAAACAGCATCCGCAACAAATTGGAAACATGACCGTTGCAGTGCCAATAGAACTAGTCCTACTAGTACTACGTAGCAGTAAAACGGCCGTAGAGATTCGATAACATGAAACACAGTGTAGCGTGTTGCAAAACTCTGACTGGCAGTTCCAGCAGCGGTATTGGTGGTATACTGAAAGCTCGAGTAGTGCGAACACACTAGTAAGTGAGTGAGGAGGGGACTGCCCGTAACATGAAACAAGAGAAGCAGTGGCCACCTCACGACAGGATGATGGCGGTGGCATCAAAACTACGGGCAATGATGGGAATTCTGACAACTACCAGGGCGAGAACCTACGTAGCATCAATAGCAAAACAACTCGTTGCCAGCGTGTGCATCCCTTGAAATCAATCCCAGCCACAGTGCCGGCGCTGTCGGGCCAACGGGGGCAAAATACTCGTCTTCCTGGTTACGAACCCAGGATGGGCGCGGTTCGGGATTTTCGGGCTCAACAGACAACATGTTACTGATGGTGGGCGATCTGGCAATTGTGGCAATGCTTCATGCCCTAGTGACTTGCCCTAGTGCCAAAGTGCAGCCAACTTTCTTGATCATCATAGGTTTTGGTGCGTAGTGAAACCAAAACCTGACACTGCCCCACACCCCTCATACTCAAGCCTAGACCTTCACCATCTTCACCGTGATGAGCTCCTCAGCACCACTCTCATCGCTGCAGCCGTCATCATCGACACCATCACCGCCATCTCGTCGCGGCTGCCCTCCCTAACTTTGCAATCATCAGAACCATCAAAGCTCAATCCCCTAAACCCTAAACCCTAAACCCTAAACCCTAAACCCTAAAGCAAAACTGCTTTCACTCTGCATTTGGAGGCTCCTCCTCCGCCTCCTCCTCCGCCTCCTCTTCAGCATCCTCCTCGCCCGTGTATTCAGTACCAGTGTCATCATCGCTTTGAAAATTGACCAGCACATTGGGGTCCTCCGCACTTTAGGGCTCAGGGCTTATGGTCTATAGGTGGGTAATTCTCTAAATTAGGGTCCCTGTTTAGGTCCCCAATATAGTACGGCAGCCTTATAAAAAGGACCCCCCAAAGGGACCCTAATTTAGAGAACTTCCCAGGTGTAGTTTAGCGTTTAGGAGGGCTCAAGGGCTAAGAGTCTGCAGTTCAGGGGTTTGGGGGTTCAGGGTTTTGGGGTTTAGGGGTTTAGGGTTTAGGGTTTAGGGTTTAGGGTTTAGGGTTTAGGGTTTAGGGTTTAGGGTTTAGTTTGTGGTTTGAAGGTGCTCGGGCAGTCCACTGACAGAGATGTTGGAAGCAACCCGAAATCAACACAGAGCAACCTTGCGCCCCGGCAGCTATTCTCCAAGGGTTTAGGGTTTAGGTATAGGGTTTAGGGTTTAGGGTTTAGGGTCTAGGGTTTAGGGTTTAGGGTTTAGGGTTTAGGGGCACCTCCTTTGCTTCTCAATGACACAGGACGTGGCCTCCACTTGCTTACATCCCAGGGCATACACCGCCAAGTCTTGTCTCGATCCCAACCTTAAACTCTGAACCCAAAGATTAATGCCTCTCGATCTTATGGCACAAAGCGGGTTCTTACCAGTTCAGGCCTCCAAAACGGAATGCGAGCACCTGGGCGTCCTACGGATGATGATATAAATCCTGCATCACCCATAATATGGAATATACCTCAATTCCCAGAGTTGAGGGTCCCTATGAGGTACTGCAGGGGTTGATATCATCAACAGTAGGAGACTTGGCTTAAACCCTTAACCCTAAACCCTAAACCCTAAACCACGAACCCCAAAACCTTCTATTCTCAGTCCTGAGGCAGCTCTAAGATGCGGATGACCGACTCGACATCTCCTAGGCCAGTGCTTCAAACCAAACCCAAGCTGATGGGTTTAGGGTTTAGGGTTTAGGGTTTAACTTAAGGCACCCCGGTTTAGGACTCAGGAGTCTACGCTTGAGGTTGAAGGTGTCTTAGGTTTCGGGGTCAGAGTTTGTCTGCGGGCGTGGGACTCACTTCAGCGTCTAGAAGCAGGGTGCCCATCTAAGTAGCAGATTACAGCTCACAGGAAGGATTTCAGAACGTCAACTCTCCAACCCTGAACCCCTAAACCCCAAGCCCTATAAGCCCGAAACCCTGAACCCCTAAACTCAAAGCCCTAAGCCCGAAACCCTAAGCCCTAAACCCTAAACCCTGAACCCCTAAAGCCTAAACCCTAAACCCTGAACCCCTGAACCCTAAACAACCCTTAACACTAGATGCGGAGGGCGGCCAGCTTCTGCGGCAGTCCAGAGAGCTTTGGCCTGCAGGTGGGTGCGACTTGGGGTTCAGGGTTTAGAGTTTTAGGGCTTTAGGGGTTCAGGGTTTGGGGGTTTAGGGCTTTAGGGCTTTAGGGCTTTAGGGTTTAGGGTTTAGGGTTTTAGGGTTTAGGGTTTAGGGTTTAGGGTTTGGGGTTTTGGGCTTTAGGGCTTTAGGGTTTTAGGGCTTTAGGGTTTTAGGGTTTTGGGGTTTTGGGCTTAGGGTTTTAGGGTTTATTAGGTTTTTTTTGGAACCCGAGGAACCCGAAACAGCACCCAACGCACACACTCTGGATTGAACAGCTTGCGACTTCTGTTTCCACGGTTTCCTGTTGCAGTTTGGCTGATCTGGGCTGCATAAAGAAGTTTTAGCTTGCAAACAGGTCCAGAGATGTCGAGTTTGAGTGTGTAGTATAGGGGTCGGAATAAACAAAAATCATATCCCATGATGAGGCTCTATGGACTATCAATGACATATCCCAAAGCCCTAACTACTCTAATCGTTAAGGCTCCTGCGTTATGTCCCGGGCTCTGCATCTTCGCACAGGCATAGCAAGACAGCGTGAACTCCGGTGCCTCAAACCCAGGCCTCCACCAGTTTCCCTTTATGTTTAGGCGATTTCACAATGAATTCGGCAAGCAGGGGAATATGGAGAGAACGCGATTGTAGTCGAAATGGGCACTGCCTCGGGTGCA